AGGATTCTTGCTCAGAAAAAGGATCAACATGCTCTGAAGTCAGAGCACAAAAACCTTTTTGTAACAAAATATCGATTTCTGCTGTCCCTGTATCGATACATTATTAGCAAACAAAATATCACCATACTACACAGTATCCATTTTTCCCCCACCCCTAGTATAAATACACAGAAAGCTGCATCCGTGTTTACATATATGAAACACTGCTAAACAGGTTACGCAACATGTATCACACGGTGTGTCAGCAGTCATCAAAAACATAGAGAGTACTTTCAGAATGAGCAGTGAAGCAAAGGGAAAAGAGAAAAAGTGTCATCTCCGTCCTCAGCACCGACTTCAACGAGTCATGATGCAATGCAGCAGACGACACGTGGGAGACCGCACGGCTGCTTTCCTCCTTAACGGGAAAACCAGTTTTGCTTCACATCCCCGTTCTTCTCTCCACCTACACGTCCTGTACTAACCCGGAGCTCAGCGTGGCAAGGTCACGCCTGTTCTCTGGAGGCTGCTGAAAGCCTTTCTGGGAAATGTGGGAGATTTTGAGCTGTAGTAGATGTGGCATGTTTAGTAAACAGCAAAGCACATTTACCATAAGTGCAAAGATTCAAAAATACCCTGAAGTGATTTGTGAAAGTTTTTCTGGTTTTCACATCAAAAAGTATTGATTCCTCTTGGAGTTTTGACTGATGGTAGAAAAAGAACACGAAAGGTTTCTCATGATTTGAACTTTTACCAATTAAAAAAATGCGAATAATTAAAAAATATTCTTCAATAAGCTTTAATTCAAGGATTTAAAAAAAATAGTAAGAAAAATAGAAAATGAAAAACGTGTTAGATTGCCGAGCCGCTCTCCTGTTTTCAAAATTGTTACGCAAAGAAAAACAGAATGCAGTCGAATCATTTACAGATTTAAAATTTAAAGCCTGGGTTTGAGCGACGACGTGCAGCGACAGCGTGCCGGATGCTGAGTCACACAGAAAGGTCATTTTGAATGTGAGGCCACCATTTTTAATTCTGACAGCACATTTTCATTTCATTCATACTTTTGGCATCTAAGTCAACTAAGTACTCCAAGATAATAGCAGAGTAAATATAAAGTGAAAACATAAAAGTTTGTCTTATACTTTTGAAGGCAAAACGTTTCCTCTGCTTATTACCAGCTCGTGAAAGGAGCGTCTTTATCTGATCAGTCTTATTAGCTGACTGTTTCACACATTTAAAAAAAGCTTGAAAACATACTTAGAAGTTGTTTTCAGTATTTAGAAGTTAAAAAAGGTAAAAAAGAAACAATCAGGCTGTTACATCTTAAAGTAGTTGTACCTGTTTAGCTGATATCTGTCCCTGTTTGTCAGCCGATTAGTTATTAATGAATGGGTTAAATCGCTCTTTGCGGTATGTGAAAGATGTAAATTGTGATTGTGTGCTGATATCACTCTGCACTGCTGTTTCATGCCTCACAGTTGTTACAGTGTTTCAGTAGTGATACATTAATAGCCCAAACAGTCGTCTGTTGTAGGAGTGTTGTCTCTGTGAACTACAATGTTTGCAGATGACACTGTGACCTGTAATGACTGTAGGGACTAGGGCTGC